TTTTTCTCTCTTTTTTTTTTTTTTTTTTTTTTTTTTTTTTTTTTTTTTACAATCGGAGATATTTCCATTGAGAATTTGGAAGGTTAACAGGAATAGTTTAAGAAATTCTGATGATAGTCAACTACACACCAGTAAAACAAGGCTCACAAAGAACAGAGGCAGGACAGGGCAGAAAGCAGAGCATCGAGGCAAAGTGCTCCTCTGCGGCAAGGAACTGCTTTGGAAGCAGCGTGAGCTCCATCCAGAGAATTAGGTGAGAACTGCACGGGAATCAGACACCTCAGCTTGTCGAATTCTCTCTTTGTAGGGCTGACTTTCAGATAGGCTGGTTTAAATCCACCTTTCCATCACAGAGAAAGAGGAAGAAAGGGAGGATGGGAGGGAAATTAGTAGTTTTCTTACTATAGTATTCTATTACTGAAGGAAAGCTAAACCTTACCTCCAAAGTATACAGGTCTTAAAGAATGGTTCTCAGACATCACACATGTTTCTTATGTCACATGAGCTTGTTTGTTTGATCCTTTTAATGCATTTTAGGCTTACCAAATTAGAGTGAACAGATAGTACTGGATGTCCATCTCAGCAACTTAACAGACACACCGAGTCATAGGCACAAAGCACTTCAATGGTAAAATGGAGCTTACAGGATGCCTGGAGGTCAGATCCAGCATTGATTCTACCTGAAAGCCTTTTATATGTCCTTCAGAGGTCAATGGTCCCTATGAGTGCAAAGCGTCAGGCTGCCAGCAGGTGTACAGGTCTGGCATTGGCCATGTGCAAGGTGGGGATCAGTCAGCCAAACAGGCAGCAGTCAAAACGTGTGACTATGACTATCCCTGTTGTGGAGAGGATTTGCAGTTAATTTTCTTAAGAGCTGCCAAGTCATTTGCATGACAGTGTTGTCAATTGATGAATCAGCAGAAGGAACAAAAAAGACACCTGAGAGGAGCTGTTCTTCCAGGAAGACTCACTGTGCAGGCATCCATATTGTGCACTGATTTTATTCCTCTTTCAGGAAATGGGCAGAAAGTTTGTTAACGGCCCAAACGCTCCTGAAGTTAAAGGAAGGGCTAATGGCAAAATAAGCAGTTCCTGTGAAGGAGGCCCAGTAAACAAAAAATAGTAGTTCTGTACAGTTCTCTTTCCACTGCACTCGAGAATGTAAGAAGACCAAAAATTCAGGGGACATGCTTAGTATATGAATGTCTGCCCTTTCCATACAGCCTACAGCTCTGCTTTAGAACTTCAGGTAGCAACTCTGTGTTACTACAACGGATGATGTGCTACAGCGCAGGGGGCTGCAACAGTCTGAGCATTAAAACAGGGAGGTATTTCTTGTCCCTAGATCTGACACTACTCCTGCGCTTCAGCTTCTCATACATAAACTGGGAATGAGGTGCAATCTCCTTTGATAGCCACTAATGAAAACATGATAAAAGGTCAAGACATTCTTCATCTAACTAATAGCTCTCTTTCTTTACTAAACAGACAATGATAGTAATGATTGGATGCCATCTTTTGTTCTGGAAAGAGAAACAAGCAGAAGATGCTTGCACAAGACTTGAAATTTGGTTCAAACAGAATATCACACGCTCATAAAAAACTTCCATGGAGGCTCTATCGACAGAAAACTGGAGTTGTTTACGTGTTACTGAGCTCTGCCCAGCAATAATTGGCCAAAATGCTACAGGTTGCCTATACAGAAGATCAAAGACAAAGAACCTTTCACAGAATCACAGAATCACAGAATCACCCGGGTTGGAAGGGACCCCAAGGATCATGTAGTTCCAACCCCCCTGCCTGGCAGGGCCACCAAACATACACATTTAGATCAGGTTGCCCAGGACCCCGTCCAACCTGGCCTTGAACACGTCCAAGGACAGGGCATCCACAACCTCCCTGGGCAGCCCGTTCCAGGGCCTAACCACTCTCCCTGTAAAGAACTTCCCCCTAACATCCAACCTAAATCTTCCCTCCTTCAACTTGGATCCATTTCCCCTAGTCCTGCTGTTATCAGCCCAACCTTTCTGGCCTTCTGTCTGAAAGACGGTGCCTCCAGCACCCCACTGTGCTCTGTCATCACACTGCCATAACCACTACCTTGGTAATGCTCCAAAACAAAGAGTAAAATAATGAAAATCCCCGGGATCATGTAGCTTGCTCTTCTTCAATTTGAGAAAAAGATCCTTCCAAATTTTCAAAATCCTCTCAGATTGACAAAGAAATATTTCTTGTATGGATCTATATAATAAAGCAATACTACCGCATTTGTTCTTTTAAAACAATCAAACAACCAGTACTTCAGCAATCCTATTGTCTAACTGTTCTGTTAATGCATAAGTATTTTACAAAATGACTCATAGGATCTTAAGGAGTAACAGATTTTGAAGGTTCTGTTTTGTGATATATCACAGATTTCTGCAGTGAATTATCTGGCTATACAAGTAATGTATACACTTCTTGAATTACAAACATGTCCATCCAAATGTTCCAGCACACATCCAATACGAATGATTAGCAATAAATAGTAGTTAAAAAACATGTACAAAGACCATGCCTGGAAATCTACCAAAACGCCTCTCTATATTACTGCAATTTGCAAAATCATTACATTACATTTGTGTCATACAACCTTGACCTTGTTCCTAGCACAGTAAACTATAAAATTGTTGTTCAAGTCAGTGATAATGGATTTAAACCATATGATATTCAAAGTCCTTTCGCACGTAGTTTTTTTCACTGTACATCCTGAATTTACTTTGGCACGCACTGCTCAGTCCAGACTCACCCCATTAACTTCAGAAACTTAACTGAGATGCCTAAATTGGAAGCAAGTACCGTAAGCTTCCTACACGTGTCATCGCCACCTACAAAAGATCAAACCTAACTTCTGAACACATCCTTTCCTAACCTAGAAAAGAGAGAGCTTTTTAGAGAGTTTATTAGTTTGTGGCAATGCTTGTATGATTTCTCTACTGGAAGGAAGTCAGCAAATTTTTAACACAATGGTTAAGCAGACTGCTTGCTAAAAAATCAACATTTGACTTGTAATAGAAAATCTTCCTGCTTGTAGTCTGCATCACATTTGCCAAATATCTAAATTAAAGTTCATTATGTTTCTATATTTTTTTCTAGTAAACAAATAAGCATTGCAGCCAGTAAGAAATAATAACTGCAGCCCACATGCCATCAGGTAAATGAAGAAATAGACTGCATCTTATGATTCTTTGCTTTCTGTAGAGTTTATTGGTCCAATTATGCAGCTGTATTTCATTTGTGCATCTGTGCAGGGCACCACTGTAAAAAAGTTAATGGACTGTGTATGGAATTTAAACCTTTCCACTGATGAAGTGTCTGAACAGCCTTTTCAACAAAATCAACAAAAATTCCTTGAAGTCTGTATTTGTTTTCAAACCAAAACAGCACAATTTTAATTTCAGCACAGTGAGTATGAAAGCTGCACTTGCATGTCACTGTATTCAGAGAGGATATTTATTAATTCTCTGACATCCTGCTGCCTCCTACATAAGGAGGCAGTCCTACATATTTCCCTCCAATTCTGCTTTCTTTATGCCTCTCCTGACTGCTGTCCTGTGGCAGAGCTCTACATTTAGACATGTTCTGTCTCCCTCTATCACATATCAATAGCAAGGAAGGAGACCAGGAAGAGAGCTTTCAGTGTGTCCTGCTTTCACCTTTACCTCCTGAGTTTTACTGACATTCCACCTGAAAGGTTATGCCAGCCTTGACCATAACACTTTGTAACTAGCTCTGTCAGGATGGGTGTTCAGCTGGGATGGTTGCCACAATCCTGGAAGGTGGCTTTAAAGGTAGGCCTTCCACCATAGTGTATGAGAAGGTATGAGATGTGAACAATTCCCATGTTCCTTTCCTGGCTGAAGCCTTCATTTCCACACAAAACAACCCAGTAAGGCACAGAAAGTCTGAAACAAGCTCATAGTCTACATCAGTCAGAATCAAACTGAGACAGATGGAGGCAAGGCAGGAAGAACAAGGTAATGGCAAGTAAGGTCCACAACATTCTGTTCTCCCTCAAGACCAGTCTTTACTCTGACGGGACTTCACCCACCCTCCATTTATATTTATTACCTTCTCATGAGCCTTTCTTTTTGTTTCAGAGTCCATCCAGTCGTTTTCTTTCTCCAACATGTCAATAAAAGCCCAGCGAATTCCTTCAGTCAGCTCTTCCATCTGGAAAATAGTTAGTAAACCTCTCTTCATTAAACTGCCATGGCGGGATCATTATAAGTTTCAGTGCATGAAGTACTTAGTAAGACCACGAACGGTTCCAAATCAGACAGTGACCACTAATAGATCAATAGATCTTGAAGGTGGATCTTTTTCCAGCCCTCAGACAATTCTTCTCAAAGTAAGTTTCTTCTTCTTTTTATTCCCTTCAGCTGTACTACACAGCCTGCTGATCCTTTCATGTCACAACTGTGAGAAAGCCTGACTCAAAATCTTAAATAAAAAAAAAAAAAAAAAAAAAAAAAAAAAAAAACCAACACTGGGAGAATAGCACTGATTTGTGGAGATTTCTGTCTCTTTGGTCCTAGATCACTAGTCCCTGCAGGAAGGAGCCAGCTGCAAAGTGTTTGCACAGATAAAGCCTTTTCTGTAGAGAGAGCATCTGTAGCCTTGCTTAGTTTATGTCACACTGAGATATTCCTCACTAATACTGCCAAAGATCTGAATTTGGGCTGAGAATATCATGATCCAAATACAAAGCAGCATTCAAATATTTAACCAGTAAGCTGTGCTTACTGCAGGGAAAGAGGCCGTGGCTTCTCTAATCTTGAACATCTAGGGACAGCCTGCATCTGTGCAAACCTGGGAGAACTCACGATCATTTTAGCTCTACTCCTTCTTCGTGGCTTCTGTACAAATGGTAGTTCAACAACTACATGAAAACACAAGCAAGTCACAAGCAAGTGAAATAGTAGGAGTGTTCAGTGAGCATAAAGGCCAAGAAAACTCCGAAATAAAAAGAACAAAGAGTCTGACAGCTAAGGGATGTGTTGCTTTGGTCTAAAGAGCAGAAGTGTACTCAGGCCTGTGCATCTGTTTGGCAACACAGACCAGAAAAGTATAGGCTATAACCTGCTTCTATTTGTATCAGCAGAGGAACCTTAACACAGATAAATCTGAAAACACTGTAAGAGTGAGGTATTTTGGAGGATCCAGCCGTTGCCAGAGGGCTTCACCACAGTTCAGCCCGGATAGTACAAGCCATGACAGACAACCACTGTATGAAGATTTACTGGATTGCTGCGTTATCAGTTATGTTACATTTAAAAAGAATGAAGACCTCCTATACCAAAGTTTTATATAAGTTTATTCCACAGATCTGCTAGCCTTGAGAAGTAATTTAGGTGGGGGCTAAATCCCAGAAAGTAATGTTATCTTCAGCAGAATTGTCACTGATGTATCAGATGTATATTTTAATTCGGAACTAATCTGTATTTGCGGTGGAGCCAGATAAAGCCTAGCAATGCTCCTTTGATTATTCATTTTTTCTACTCTTTTCAAAAAACTTTTTTTTTTTTTTAGCATCAGTACAGGACAACTGGAACAGTTCTAGCATTAAATATGAGTAAACAGTCAACATTCACAGAAAACAGTGTCTCGGGGAATAGGGTAACTTAAAGGTATTGATGGCAGAGCATTGACTCAATTAACCTAGAGCACTAATGAGGTGAACTCCCTGTATTTGGAGGTTATGAGTTCAAACTAGAGCACTACAGCTGGGCCCTGGTGTACAGTTAGGCTTTATGTACCAGCTGTAGCTGTGGGGGACAGGAGGAGAAACCTATTCCTGCTATCAAAGCTATTACTGAAACTGCTCAGGCATAGCTGTAAGAAACACTGCAGGCACTCTGGGTTAGAAACAGTGCTATATTTAGACACAAATAATGTCTTTCCTGATAAAGGAAGAGGGAAATTTCTAAAGTATGAAATATCAGTTACCAAACCTTGGGGGAAAAATCCATACTGTCCATAAGTCAGGATTTGCTTTTGATCCAGGGCAGAATAAAAATAATAATAAAACCTGTACAAATAAGAGCACTTCTCTCAAGGGTTTTCTTGGTGCTTAAGAAAGAGAAATAGAAATGAAAACCAGTGAAATGAAAATAATAAAAACAAAAATGATCAACTTGAAAAGTACATTTCTAAAAGGACTGCAGCAAATTTCACCTGCATCTAATTTTTTAACCATCACCAGCTTGCTATTGGTCTGAATTCTGTGGTTTATACTATAACTATTATACGCATACCTTTCTATGGATGTTACTGTGAATTTAAACTTGATAATTGTTCACATTCTTGGCCTGAAAGGAATTTGCATACTAAAAAATATTTTAATTAGGTCATATTTCATCAGATAACCATTCTCTATTTCTGCCAGGTTTTCCTTCACATATACAAACACAAAATAACAGTTCATCCTCAATAAAGCATACATTTCTTACAGTCCATTTCCACAGAGGTCACATTGTCTAATACCCCAGAAATATTTTTGCCACTAAACTGCCAAATAGCACATTAAAAACTTGATAAAGAATCAGGGAACTGGATCTCAGGAAGGAAACTCCAGCTGGAGGCAAGGAGCAAAAGAAATGTAGAGATGGAACATTTCAAATATTGAACAAGCCAAACGTTGGTCTGTCTAAAATGGAGTCCTTCCATAAGAAAATAGTCAAACTAAACAAAGTCAAGCAGACAAACTCAAGCTACTGAGCCAGGGTTCTGAAGGACAATCACAGAGCTGCTGCACCCAGTGCATGATGGTCATATGTTTCCTAAATGCAGCTCTCCTGTGGTAGAAGCTAAGTTCATTAGCTAAATCAGTTGATTTCAAACTGATTACTGTTGGAAAATCAATAGCTGGAAAAGCAGACACTGGGAAACTCAATGAGAAAATTATAATCTGAAAATAAGTCATAAATGATCATAAAGGGTAGTTAATCATTTGAATATGTTATTAAGGGAGGTGATAATGTAGCTGCATTTGAAATTTTACAGTGAAGATGAATGTCCAGTTGAAAGCTATTCTCTCTATTCTCTGTACTCGTCAACGTGAAAGAATACTTTCCTTGAGTAAAGACATTAGTTTTCTCAGTTAGAGTATACTTGTAGCAATACCAGCCTTAAAATGTTAGCCCTAAAGCAGAGCAAATGTGACCAGTTATTAACTGGTCAGTAAGAATTTTACTAAATTACCTTAAACTGATCCATTCCTCATCAATGCTCCCCCCTCTGCTTCTGTACAGTCTGTCATCATGCAAACACACTAATGGAGTTTAGGCTGGTTTTTATCTGTCTACATATTTATCTGAAGGGCCTCATGTAGAAAGATTGGGCTGTGCTTAGATGGACAAGAAACATGACATTTCTTTGTTCTGTGCTCTCCTTGCTTTTTTTCTTAAGTAACTGAAGCATCTTTAAGAATTTTGTCACCAGTAGTACATCTTTTCTTTAACTTTGAGAGAATAAGGAAGCCTCTAATTACAAGTTTCTAAGAGGACTCACCATCTCTTTCTTGTCTTCTTGAAAATGGGCTTTCACAAACATCTTACCCACAACATAAGGGAGTGCACTTTCAACTAAGTCCACACATTTGTCCCACTGAGGCAGTAAAGATGTTGTTCCATGGATCACCTGTTGGAAGTGAATGCAGTAAGTCATAACATTATATAAGCCTGCATGTATATTTTTTATGCTTGCCAAGTTAAATTATGCATGTCAAACAGTAACAAACAAACAAACAAACAAAAAACACAAAAAAACCAGCCAACCCACAGCAATGATATTTTACAGATATTTCCATTTTTATGAGAACGTAGAAACTTCATAGAAAAATCTTTTCAACCCCACCGAATAACTGTAAAGTTTTAAACTGAGTATAATGGTAACAACTTAGAGAGACTAAGCTGAGAGGATTTTTTTATGGGAAGACATTCCCAATGGTTAACATTAGGCTAATTCTGGTAGTTTTGCACTCAGTGCAAATGAGCTTCAAAAGAGAAATAGTCAAGAACTGTCAATGCACAAATGAGCAAGGCAGAATTATGCTTAAGCATGTTGCTACTTTGTTCTCCGTTTCTGAACGTTGTTACTGTTGGCATTTCATAAATATCAATACATTTTCTGGACAAAGGAGTTCATTAAAAACAAAGTACCCATTCAACACAAAATGCAAAATGTTTACATGGAAGCAAAAAGCAAACGCAGTGCTGATTCGGAAGCTTTTTTGATTTTTCTTTTTTTCAAGTTCAGAGAGTTCCCTTTCCACTTGTCTTGTTCCACAGAGAACAACCAAAATCCCAGCTCAGTAGCTGTCACCTGCTGGTTGCATAATGGTGGGGTCAACACCAGACCAGGTCAGGCAGGATAGCATTTTGGCCTCTCACAGATTGCATAGACCTCCAAGCAATGCTCTAGTGTTTAGTGGGCCTTTCTTTTTCCTTGGTCTCCTCTTAGTCTCCTCCAAGATAAGATTTCTAGCAAAACTAAAGAGCTTGGATTTGCTTGGAAAATTACAGACTATCTTAACTCTCAGCTATTGAAGGTCAGCTATTTTGGTAGTTGAAAGATTGATTTTCTCCATCATATTGGCTGTAATTAAGCCTAATCAATGACTCATACTTAAATACACCAGTGAACTGCATTTTCAAATGCTTTTTATTAATACTGCATGTGCTAATAGATTTTCAATGACAGAACGAACACTTCTTCTATACAAAAACCACATTGGGTAAACTGATGCATAATAAGGTAATTGTTTCCTAAACAGAGCCAAATTAGAAAATAAACTTCTTTTCCAAATCCTTCAATCTTTATGTATAACACATCACTTTATTAAGAAAGAAAAAAAAAGGAAAGGAAAAATTCTCTCCAGTGTCCATGCAAAACCACAATGAATCTTTCTCCTGATGCAGAGTAACAAGGGGAGTCACAGCATTAATTATCAGAGCTTTTCTTCCAATTTTTTTCCAAAAGCTCTGTCTACACAACAACCACAGAAAGTCAAGAGACAGAGCTGGCTTTCAGCATGTGACACGTTATTACAACATAATAATCATTATTTTGAAGGAGGTTTGACTGTGAGGAGGACAGAAAGGCAGTACAGGCTCCGAGACAAATAAAACCAGAGCTGAGAGGAATAGATAATATCTCACAGCTGGTATATTGATATTTATGTTACAACCAGAGCCAACTTGAGCTCTCTCAAAATTGTCCTCCAAATATTAATGTCTCACTCTACAATGCAGTACTCCAGGTAGTAACAGCGACTATAAATAGCAGGTTTCAAGCCTTTCCAGGCAATTCAGAACTCCACAAGAGAATTAAAAGAGCTCTTCCCCAGGAGCCATTGCACATTTGCTAGAACTCAAATAGTCAGTGGAGAGAAGCTGCTGATGGTGCTGATCTGGTAATCAAACACTTTCTCCAGAGTCAGCAGGATTGTCCTATTTTTCAACCTGAAGTTTTTCAAAGTTTCATCACTTCTTTGCAAAATGCCACCCAGATATGTGTCTCAGTGCCAAGATTTCTGCACATAAGATGTAAAAGCCACCAACAGAAAATTGGAACCCAGTTTAAAAATGCTACTTAAGATGGGTGAGGCTTTTGAGAAATGAGTGAACAAATAAAATGTATCCTCTGTTTTAGAGATCAGTGATTCTTCTCACAGTCATATTGTTGTCTGATTACTCAATGTTTTCTTCACTTACCAGAAGGTTAGTGAGTCCATTTTTACGATCTCAAAGGAACTGTGTATCTCAAGTCTTCCAGCCTCTGACTGGAACAATCTGCTCAGCAACAGCTTTGCCTTGAACTCCATTTCTCATGTCATTTCTGCTGACCTGTGAAATCTGTTTCCCTGAGCTGTTCACAACACTTAACCACAGCTATTAACTATTACCCCTCGCTATTTACTGCACTTAACTATCTTTCTCCAGATCCCAAAGGCAGATATGGGAACAAGCTGCTGACTCACTGCCCTTACTAAGCTGCCCTTCAGTTTTCACAACCACTTACGTGAATCCTTGACGACAATATTTTAATGAGCTTTGAAACAACTTGAGGTAGATTTCTCCCTAAGCTGCTGGAGGATGTACCCAGGGAAAAGACAGCACCTAGTTAGTGTATCTAAAAGCACAGTAACTGAAAGATAATGTTTCCTTCCAGGAATTTCCCTAGCCATAATGTAATTCAATCATATTCTGCAGACTTGTTGATGGCCAGCAATCTATTTTACCTGGCTAGCAAGAAATATTCCACAAGGGGACGCCCTTAGAAACACATCACTGTGGTTCTGACAGCCAGTTTTGGACATTTTTGCATAAAGAAAATGGCATCTTTGGCAATGCAGATTCAGGATCAGAGGAGATGGCCTCTTCCACATAGTTTCCATCAAAGTATTAAAGTTCATTTTTAGATATGTTATCAGCTCATAACTCTTCCAATACCAGTCAGGAAGGACATTATTGATGGTTTCAATTACTGTCTGTGTGCCTCACCAAGGAGGACAGAGCACCCACACCTCCTGCACCACACCACTGGCATTGCTGTGACAGCCTCCTGTTCACCGAATCATAGTCATTAATTTTGGAAATCACCACTAAGACCATCTAGTCCAACCATCAACCCATCACCACCATGCCCATAACCGTGTCCCTCCATGCCACAATATATCTTGTTGTCATGATATAACCAAGCAGCTTATTTTCCTTATAACGAACAAAAAAATATTATCATCCAAACATGGCACGGAAACAACAAGAAAGTAGAACAAATTTCTGTTGCAGTTTCATCTTTTATTTGCTTAAAGAGCCCTTGCATTGCCCATAATATCATCAGGTTGGTTTTCCATTCAGGAGCCACTTAATCAAATATGTGCTTTACATAAATACTCGTATTAATTAATAGATAATTAACTCTACTCTCATAGATTATGGCAGCAACTAATGCATGTCTTTTGGGGTTTCTACAGCCCTGAGCTGGAAGATACCTGATCAGATCTTCTGTGAGAAAAGCTGATGTATATATACGCTAGAGCTCATATAAAACTGGCATTAGAGCATAATAATGGTTTGGAGTAACCTGAGAAAAGGTGAAATCTTATAGTTTTGTTTTAGCTGAGCTGTTTTCATGCATGTGTAAAGAGTTCTTTTTTTTTTCAAAATATGGCCAAACATATTTGACCTTTCGCAGGTCACAGCCCCAGCACAAAACTCAATAGTTTTCCAGCTTTTGGGTTACAGCATAAAAAGCCTAAGCCTTTTTAAGGCCTCAAAACTTCCCTTACATAATCCAAAGGACAGTTCTCCTTTGTGTCGCACACAATATATATGGTTTCACTATTTTAAATGAAGAGTACTGCAAAAAGCTTAATAAATTTGCCCAGCATGGAAAAAATATCTTTTGCAAAGATATAAATAATAGAAAACAGCAGCTATAAGGGAAACAGATAGGGACAACACTAATTACACTGTAAATGCTATTAAAAACTTCAACTTACCCGAGAAAATTCCAGCCACCGATACTGAAAACGTCTGCTGAGGTTAAATAGCCTTGAATAAACCATCCTCCACACCAGATAGTTGGCAAGAGTCCTGTTAAATCAGACATGCTTTTGTCAGCCCTCTAAATGCATATGATGTAACAAAGCAAAGCACTCACAGAAGTATTTCCACGAATATTCAAACTGAATGGTTGAAAATTCATTTTGAAAATTAATGAGTGATGATCAAATTGATAAATCTCTACTTCACAGAGTAGCCTGCTAGATTGAAGATGGTTGGTATGTAATTGCACAGTGGTAACCATCTTCTAGAGGATATTCGTATCAAGTTCGACATTTAGCATGCCACCTGTAGGTAATGCTTTTTTCAAAGGGCAGTTTTTGTTTTCCATGGAAGTAGCAAGAATAGCACCATAATGAGAAAATAACTGGTTTTTTTTTTCCTTTTTTTAATCTTTTTTTTTTTCTTTTTTGGATATCAAAGCAAATGTTATCTCACCTCATTAGTAAGGAACATAAATTGTAACCATAAAACAACAGATAATGATCAATCCCATATGTACTAGAGACTGTCACTATTTCATATTGTCTTTCCTTAGAAGTTAACAAAACTTTAGAAAAATTTTACTATCTACATTTATTAAATTACTAATTACTAATAACTGACGTACCAAAAAGACAAATCTCTGAAGAACTGAGGCTGAGAAATCCTGGAAGAACTTGTTCAAACATCCCAGCAGACCTGACATCTTTGCTCCTTTTTCTAAAACTTCAAGCACTTGATCAGAGTGCTTAACCAAATATTTGTCCAGCCTAGACTGAGCCACCTCCATGATCAGCAGTGGCTATATGAGATAAAATTGCACTGTAAACAGGCAATTCAACTTCAACCAGTCTCAAAACAAGTCTAGCACTGAGCTAAGTGTTCCCTTTCCACTATAAGATGTTTTGATAGCCTATCTGAACAGCTCGCTCTTCACTAAAACTCTAGTTTCTCCAGCCTCTAGCTGCCATAGAGATGGAGCTGCCAGGTGTTCCTGCAGTGCCCCTCCATTAGTTTCATTGATAGATGCTTCATACACTGTTCTCTCACCCAAGTCAAAACAGTCTGTAAGAAAAATTTTTGAGGGTGTTCTCTTCACACCAGCATCACCAGAGCAAGAGCTTGAGTTTTGCCTCTAATCTCCTGCCTAGCACCTCCAGCTCAAGAAAGATTGTTGCTGCAAGCTTAAGCTCTTGGTCCCTCAGCTGGGGAGATGGCAGTGAAGTGAAGATGGCAACTTGAAGCAACATATTGTCTATTAGTGACTGAGCACGTCTGACCGTGTGCAGACACTAAGTGGGACACCACACCAGGAGCAGTTGTGTGCTTATGCCACTTAACCCTTCTTCCTGATAGAAACAATAATTTCTTTTTCATTATAGAAATGCATCAAACAGTACATGTAAATCCTCACAATATTCATAAAATATATCCAAAAAAAGCTTTTCAAACTTCCAGCACAAGTAATACACCTTTATAGCATAGTATACATTACAACAGACAAAACAATTAGCTCTAAATGGATGATTGAATCATTTTGACAAAATGCTTAGGGTCATTAAAAATGTATTTCAACCTACTCAACTATACCAGAAAGCACAGATTTTCCCATTATCACATTTTTTATGATGTAGAGTTTCCTCAGTTAATAGCAAGAAACACACCCCCAAAGAATATAGCTCTCATTTCTTTTATAGGTTGTCTGAATTCCACCAGCCTCTTTGTACCTGCCTCATGCATTTGAGGCACCCTTGCTCCCACAGCACCTACTCAATCCCTCACTCTACTAAAATGCAATTCTGTAGATTTAAATCAGTATTTATGTAAGTATATATATTAAAATTGAGTATATATATTGTGTATACATATATTTGAGTATATTGAAAGGTTTAAAGATACAATTTCCATCAAATTCTTCAGTAAAAAAGTTCAGCTAAGTAGACAGCTACCATAAACCAATTATCTGTTACAATTCAATACTTAATTGCTACAAAAAGTCAATTCCTTCTTCTGTGTACTTCTTGTTCTCATCTAGAGGTGTCTGCCCTTACATTCAAATCAAGGAACCTCTGTCAAATTGAGAGTGAATGAAAGACTGAAATTTGTAAAGAAAGAGTCCTGAAAAGGTGACTTATTCAACAACATTAATATCCATGGGAATTAAAAAAACTTTTGTATTTAGTATAAGGCATAAATGATGAAGGGGAATGTCTGTCCCGGGAAATAGCCCACAATTAATTGAGCTTTGTTTTAATTTGAGAGGGAAAGAAAGTCTGACACAACCTGAAACCTAGCTCTCTGATGAGATGATAAAAATCCCTAATTGTAATCACACTTGCATCCACTGATGCATACAATACATAAAACAGGAAGGTTTCACTTCAAAGCCCAAGAGGATTTACACCTTCAGGATTGGGGGGATAAGATTGAAGGCAAAGGTTTTATTGTTTGTGGGTTTTGATGTTTTTGTTTCTGGTAGGAGAGGTAAGCATTTCAGTTTTATTAAGGTCTGTTTACTTATTTAAATAACAATTTTTATCTTTTCAGTCAGCTATGTGAACTTAAAATCAATTATCTTCATTCAGGTTGAAAAATGACACTTTCTGATTAAGAAACGCCTTTAGTGCCTATTCGAGGGTTATTTTCATCCAAATAATATGAGACTCAGAGATGCTAGCCTCTTCACATGGAGTGAAAACCAGCACAAAAATAAAATACAGATCTCTGTGCTTCTGATGAGACCAGAGCATTTGTTGCTGTAGCCTTTGGGAAGATTACAGTACACAGTTCCCTATTTTAACTTCAAAACAACTGTTACAGAAAGAAGTGTAGGCTGACCACTGCTGAGCCAATATGACCATCACTGTGATACACACTCCCAAAGGAAGTGGTAGAGAGCTTGTCTGCTGGGACAGTTAAAATTATACCAGCGTTCATGGATATCTGCTGAGGAAGGCTCAACCCTGTCTGGAAATAAAGTAGGTTGCTCAAGTAAAATTCTGAGAGTTTGTAATATATTTTAATGAATAGACATGGTGGCAATTAAAGAGGATAGATTTAATATGAAATAGATAGACACATTAATTGGCATTTTAATAAAAAAAGATCTTTTTCACAATTTTTGAAATCTGTTTGGAAACTGTATTCATAATTGAGCGAAGAATCAGATTAAAATACTGAAAAATTTTCAGTCTCTTGCTAGAGGCAAAAGTTCCAGTTAAATTACCATAACTTAACTCTCCAACTAACTTTTCAAAAGAAACACAAGACCAGAAAGGAGATCTAGTGTCCCCATCTCTCTCTAAAGAAAATTCCTCTTTATAACACAGGAATTGAGGAGTACTGTATTAATTGTTCCATACTGCAAATATGCAGTAAGATGAGGCAAGGTAAAGCAGTTATTGATTCTGACGTCCATGAGAACAGTAAAGCTACTTTCTACAGCAGCTGTAAACATTTCCATTATGAGAATGCATCTCACTGTATCTTATTTATTACTTTCAACTATAGTGCCAGCACCATCAACAAACTGGTAACTGGAAGGCTGGGGGGAAAGAGGAGCAGGGGGAAAATAACCCTTGTTACTAGAAATCTGGTCTGTGACAATATTTAATAAAACAAACCAAATTCATATTATTTGCATTATTTTAACCTTTCAAATACCATATGGAGAATGAAAAATGAGATTACCCATAAGAAAATACCCTTGTTACGTTCTTAGGCTTTATCCCATATGGAAATGTTATGACATCATTGTGAATACTCTCAGGTATTTACTGTGTAGTTGCAGAATAGATTTGTATGGAGTAGTATTTGCACACAAAGAGTAACTGTCTTTCTGTTTATTGGTACACATGCATCCTCTAAATCACCACTTATCCCCACTGACATAACAAAATTTATGAGATAGAAAGCCTGAAAAAACAAAACAATGTAGAAGACTTTCTTCAGCAAACTAAAATTTGTGATATGCTAACAATATTCGTCCGAATTTTGGAAAGCAAGGATGTTTGACAATCTCTAGGCAGAACAAATGATCATGTTTATGTTTCTTACTGTTTGATCTGCTTCTTTTTTTTACAAATACTATGAATCAACATAAGCTTTGTCATTGAAGGCAAAGATCAACAACATGAGAACATTCTGAATTATTCTGTTCTGAAATATAACCTTAGTTGTGGCCATACTGTACCATCAACAAAGAATGATTTTTAGAGAAAACAGCTTGAAAATGTTTTTTAAGAGTTCAGCAACACACCTGAGCAGAGAGTAAATTATTACAGAAACGGCTCATACGTCATCAACAAAGATGCTTTTAAATAGAATATCATCTTTATACACCCTTTTTTCACCACACTGCCAGAGGCTGTCTTGCTTCCCTGTGCAGAGCACATCTATTGCATTTAATGTGAGCTGCGTGCATTTTTCTAGAGATGTAAATGATTTCGCAAGACATAAAACCCCATACAAGCAAGAGAGGCTGAATGGATCTGCAAAAGGCAGTAAAACTGTTTTGAGCTAATAAAGGTGCCTGAGACTAAATTCTCCGGCTGCCCAGAAGGGAATACACCTATCTTCTTTCAGACAAAAATGAGGAGACCTTTTCCTAGAGATTTGATTCCTAGCATCTGGGGAGTACCTAAAGATCCCAGAACAAGCCCAGCATTTAATGTCCAGTCATGAATTTGGAGCCTTACTTTTTCCTTTCATTTTCAAGTATCCTGAATAAATCTTTGAAGTACTGGGGAACACGGACAATCACACTTTCTGAAGGACCTATATCTTTGAGCTCAGGGTAGACCTTGGTGTCAATCACCTTCTTGATGTATCCCAGCCAGTCAAACTGAAATGACAAAGAAAAGACTGGTTAAAGCACTCTATGAAGAGAGATAATTTATTGATTAAATCACGTTTGAGATAGTGGCTTTAAAGCTTTACTTATTAAAAATTTAGAAATTATTGCAGCTCATCTTTCCACAGTTTCAAACCTCATGAACTCATAACTGAATTTAAAAGAACATATATTGTAACAGAGTGCATACATTCCTAATAACACTCCTTTAACATGCTATCTCCCTACACTAAAGGCATATTTAATTATGTAGGTCAGAAATAAAAAGAATAATTTCCCCAACCAACCTGTGGAATCATTGCACTAAGCTCTGATATGTTCATCTTATTGTACATCACTTCACTTGTTCGATTTTCATATGGAATCATGATCTGGAGAAAAAAAGAATAACAAGAAAAAAAACACATGATGAAATCAAGGCTCATCTTCCGAGAATCTTATCTTACATAGTTACTATCCACCACAAACCCAGTGAAGAAGTACATAACTACCCATTTTCCAAGCATTCATGACGTTAGCTTCCCTTTCTGAAGATGGCATTTAACTGAGAAAAATTAAATAACATTCATTGCCAGTTTAACTCATTACTGGGGAATCTGATGTGCTGCATGTCTTCTCTGAACACCTTAGACCAATTTTAGCTCTGATTATACCAAGGAAACAAATGTGGGTCCATAAAAGCTAAAAGCACACCTAGATCATTAATATCATTCATCCTATCAGCTACAAACTATTCAGTTTCAAATGTCAAATCTGAGAACAAATATGCTGGAAACATATCTTGTCTCCCAGATTTGAACATGTGCCCTTCTCTGTCCTGGCTACACCTGGAGGAAGAGTCAGATATACATCAGTTTCTTCTTCCTTTAAACCAACTATCTTGATTTCCATGGCAGGAAATCTGAGTACATAGGCCAGAAATGAACAAAAGCATTCACCAACTGAATCTCTCATCTGGGTGACCAGAACAGTCAGGCCTCAGGATCCTCTACAGAGTTAAAATCCAAGGATGTAGCAAAAGAATTGTTAAATACAAAGGAAGCCCTTTTATAATTGACAAGGGATATTCAAATTCCAAGGTGTCTGTCTGGGTCATAATGAAGAAACTTAACAACTACAAGATAAAAATACAAATTTTCTCACTGTTCAAGTAAAACAAGAATTCTTGATGCCAGTGCCAGCCCAGCTCTAAGGCAAATACTGTGCAACAGGCTTTATGGTGCCGAATTTAGACAGGGCAGAAATTGACACAAGACTAACCAAACAGCTGGAAGATCTCCAAACAAAATTCTGCAGTAAATGTCTGCAGTTTAAATGTTGCTCAAGCAATACAGACAAAAAATATTTTCTTCTCCTTTTATATGGCAGATCTATAAACTCTTCTTGAACTTGCTTGCTTTCTTCCTAAATTTTTCCTTTTCCTCCAGTAACTCAAATCTACTTGAAATCTTCCTTGGACACAGTAAGATCTCTTGAAGCATGCCACTCATTCCTAAATCAAAAATCATTCTTTTATTCCCTCTGTCTCCCTTCCCAAGCACAGAAGTTCTCCGTGATATACGTTCACTTAAAAAGAGTACACAGGAACAAAGGATACAGTAAAAGCCCAAGTAACAAACAAGACTATCTGTTTTCAAAACACAGTATGATGATTATATAATTAATTGTGCTTACTAGGGATTATACAACAATTCTTGTTCCTGAACATATCTGCTTTCATGCGGAGCTTTGACAAAATTTTGTCTCTACATTCAGCAGAGAGATGGAAACTCTGCATTACTGCTGTTGTGGATGGCCTCCAGTTCTCCAACCTTAATGATTCTATGATTATTTTTGGCTAAGGGCTTTGTTAATTTGTTTTATTTTTTTAATTCTTCACCCAATGCCCTTGAGAATATATATTCAATTTAGCAATTAACTAAAGCAAGAAGACACTTTGTTTTCTTCCATCAGATTTGCTCCTTTCCTCCTCCCTCCAAGAAACATTATTGCTAAGATTGTTAATGTAACAACTTTCCATTCTGAAACAGGATAGCCCTTGGTTTTTAAAGGAATTTTCAATTCCACATAAAATTACCAACCTCAGCTATTTTAACTTCCAGCTTTAGGACTGACTTCATGTCAGATTCAGCTCGTGAAGCATTTGCACCCAGAAGCACTGCTGTGTCAACCATGAACTGCAAAAATGTATCTCGGTACTGGGGAAAAAGAAGAAAAAGAAAAAAAAAAGGAAATTATCACAGGATTTGCACTTCAACACAGCTGTAGCACTAGGACATAAATATCCAGCTGACAGCAAGGAGATGAATACACTGTACTTTCATACTCTTGCAACCAGAGTTATGGTTTCCTTACCTCAAGTGTCCATTTCCATTCAAGAGACAAGGGGAAATAATGCCATAAACATACTGTGGATGACAGACAGAGCGATCTGCTGTGATTCACAGAGTATATACATCTTGGGAAGTGCAAATGATATTTCTGGACTTGGCTGAGAACACAGAGCTCTTACAATGGAATTAGACAATGTGTATGTTTTTGCAACCTCACACAGTAATGAGCACAGGACTGAAGTACTTACAGACAGATGTAAGCTTGGTGGATGAGAAGATAGGGAAGCAAAGAGACCTCCTTTCTCTTTTTCTGCTACAGCACACAAGTACCTACAAAAGTGCTCTGTGCCATCCAGCTATCCTAAAAAAACCTGTTTTACAGAACTGTTTAGCCTAGTGTGTCTGTACAAATGTCAATGAAAACACTGTATGTATCAATCATTATACTGCAGTGATTTCTGTGCTATCTCTTCTCCAGCACCACCTTTCAGAAGTTTGAAAGGGATCCTATCAGCTCCTGCTGGTCTGTAGTGTCCCAAAAGCAAAAGCATTTCCTGGCATATTACCATCTATAATTTATAAATAGATACTGTTCTTTGGATACTGGCATCTGCTCAAGTGGATGTGGCTAAAATCTCACTAGCTTCTCAGAGAAATTAAAATGGAAGCAATACTGTAAGACCTTAACAACAGCAGTAACTTGCCCCCATGACAATCCAAGTGCTTGTTTTCCATGAACTTTGGGCTGTATGTGCTGGACACTGCCCACAGGCCTTCATCAAAGGAAGATGAAAAAGATATTGGCATTATCAAATATCAATACATGTACATCAACAGTTGATCTTTGTTTTCCACAGAAAAGCAGCAAGAAAACTTCTTAATAAGCTATGGCAGAGTACTGAGAAATAATAAAGAGAAAGGGAAGAAGAGGAAATGAAGCACTGAGATCTGTTGAGGAATTCAAGTTCCCTTCATTAAATAAATTCAGGCTAATTTGATGATAGATATCTGGCCAGGAGAGCAGCTAACTGACAGCGCAGCATCTGGGCTCCGTTTTCATGAGACAGACTTGAGCTTCTGGGTTCTTTGTCTGTGGTCTAGGAAATTCTGGGACCTCTCAGTAATTGTGGAGGCTCTCAATGACACCAGGTCAGGTGAAGGCTAAGGTGAGGGTAGCTGTAGCAGCTGCTAATGAACTCTGACAGCTGTCCTTGAATGCAGGGTGCCCCAGGCAACTGTCACTGTTGGAATCCTAGATGGTCCTTCATAAGGACACAGCTCTGCAAGTCTCAGACTACAGAGAGCACCTGAAGCACATGGTCTTCTGGCTTCTTGTTTATATGCTGAAAATACAAAACCGGGCAGGTGGCTGATGATTTCCAGAGGTGTGTTTACTTCCAGGAGAAGTAAAGGATCAAGGGACGCCATTTCTTATTAAAATTTTCATTTGAGAAACTTTGCAAGTGTTTGTAGCAGTAGTGCTTGTGGTTGAGGTTTTTTTTCCTAATAGGAAATATCTTGAAAAATCTAAATCCAACCAAACCATAACTGTTTCCCAGACTGGAGCTCAACAAAGTCAAATCTACAATAACAAAAATAGATATTTTGAGTTTTTGTTAGTATTACTTACGGATTTAGCTTCTGTGGTGTTTTCTAGGTAATCCTCTCGAGATGAGAGAGATAGGCTTGCTTGATCTAGCTGTTAAAAATAACAAAAAAAATACATTTAATAATTACAGGTAGTCATATTAGCAACCTTGAAAGAGTTTGCATATTTCTCTCAATAGCAATAAATGTAAATATCTAATACATAATACATTCCTGAAAAATAGCCTGATTTGCACTTAATTAAAAACAAAAAAAAAGCTATGCTGTGCTGATAGATGTTACCTTATTCATATTAATGCCATCTGGGAAGCCTCAGATGCCGCCCTCAGTACCTTGAGCCACGTACTACAGCAAAATATCACCAGCCTGATTTATGTGTTCATGGCTCCATTAGCAAGTAGGGTAATGTAAAAGGAGTGAGTCTATGGGATCAAACAATGAGTGCAGACAACTATTCATGTTACCTGTATTTCAGGGGCACAAGAATCAATTTTGGACAGAAAACTTAGTGTATGGACCAAATGTCCATTAGCTGCTGGAGCTTGTCAGCTGCTGTGTGCCTGGAAAGCATCGTTAGCCTACTTTGACAGAAATTAAGTTCACGCATTTGAGCTTCACACTAGGCCAGCATTGTGTGTCGTAATGAGTATTTGGCTTTTTGAACAGAAGTACAGCTGGGTTCCAGCCTCAGAAGTCATTGCATGCATGGGAAATTGTTATGCTTCCAATACATTAGATAAAGATGTATGGCAGACACAAGCTTTAAATATTTCTGATTCAAACTATGATCAGACTTACTGGCCTACAGTTACCCTACTGTTGGATAAGGTCTTCAACTTAATTTCTAAAATCACACTTGAAACTTCAATGGGTTTGCTTAGTCTTCTGAATGAAATGATGACAACATGGGAACACATGCATAATGTTTCAAGTTCTTAACCAGCCAAAAATCACAGTGAAGCAGATTTCTTAAAATTCATACTAGAAACAGAAATTTCACAAGACACTTCAACATGATCAATTAAGTTAGAGTACAGAAGCCAAATCTCGTAGCATAATTCAGCCAACTTCCAAATTCCAAAAAAGGTATTGATGTGAAAGGAAAAAAAAAATTGATATTCTAAGACTATTATTCTGACGTTTTATTTGTTTTTTAAAAGTAGTGAAGAAATACGGTATTTATTCATACTATTTCACAAAAGCCTATGTAATCTATATCCTACAGCATTTATATTTCACACTTCCTACATTTATAAAAAATTACCCAATTAAATGCAAATAGAATCTCCAATGAGTAAATAAATATCTTCTTTGCTTTAAGATACACGACAAACAACATAAAACAAATCATCTACTGAAAGCAGATGTTCACTGCAGCAGTGATGTTCAGCGCAATTCTGATCCTTTGAAAAACAGTAATACCTTTCTTCCATATACTGAAGCAAAAAGAAAAGAAAAAAAAACCCCTCTATACTCTCATGCTTCGCAGATGCATGTCCTGACAGTTGTTAACTTCAGATTATTTGGTCTATTTCAGCTACGTCACTGTTGCTTTAAGTGCTCATCCAAATTTTTCTGGCTTAAGAGTCAGATTTGATAATCCATTGAAATAAAGCACAAACATGAGATACTAACAAAAAAGCTCATCAACTTCTTCAAGAAAAAAGAATATTATATTGAATGTTGAACAAAACATTATTTGGAGAACCTCCTGTTTTTCTGATCCATTCATGCTTTTGCAATGCTGAACAAAGACAGAATTTTGCAATCGATCCATTTTCACAAGCAGATTGAAATACTCCCTGGTACAGCTGCACTCCTGGGAATTTGTTAAAACACTGACAAAGTAGAACACTGGCTGATGCATTCCGCTGATCAAGATCTTAATCAGATTAACAACAAAAACAGAATCCCCCAAGGAATAGTATGCTATTCAGAGGATGTAGAATTTCAGTTATTTAGATACCCGATTCACAGGGGCCGCTAAGCATACCAAATGAACATATTGCAAGATATAATTCATTTTCAAAGAACAAGCCCTACAGACCTATCCAAACCCTCTCCTGGCAGATCTCATGGACTAAAAGCAGAAGTATGACAGGAGATAGCTAAATATTTCCTCTTTTGATTCTACCATTTCAGTTTCCTTAAATCTTCAGCCAAAGCAATCCTGACAGGAACCGAATGGCATCTTAGTAGAATGATATCCTTAATGCAGCAAACTGTTGATCTGTAGTTGCCTTGACCATTCAGGAAAACTCCTTAGAAACGAAGAAAATTTACCCTTGAATTTCATACCAGTCTAGCACTGCAGTCAAAGGTCCTTTCAAAGTACTGATTCAGAAACAACATCCATACCACCACCCCAAACTCTTGTTTGAGTCCCAAATGAAATGTATTCTTGGATATGCCTCTGCAGCTAGCCAGGATACTACCAATGTATGGACCACAGATACTACTTTTCTGTGATTAACAGTGGCGTATCTTTCTTCTTTGTCCCTTCTCTCTGGCCTTTATAAATTACATTCTCATAGCAGCAGAGAGCTGATCTACCCTGGTTATTCAACTCTATTTCCTAAAAAAACAAAATGCATTTGACCCAGGCACTGGATCTTGCCATGATGACATCTCATAGTAAGTGTTGCAATTCTCTCTAGAGTTCTGTCAGACTACAGCTAGGCAATTTTGATTTTGGTCTTTTTCTCACTAATCTAAGCAATTGTGTAATTTCATGTGCTATAAACTTTATGCTTTGCTCCAAAACAAAAGAATTTCAGTAAAAGACATATTCTGTATTTCCAGTTTGGAAGACTTTGAGTTACTTTTTTTTTTGTTGTTGTAAGGTGCTGTATAAGCACAATATAACATGTTTCCTTTTCAAGAAAAATATATCAACTTCAAAATATTTGTGACTGATGCACCATTCCTCATTTTCATAGATAAGTAGCCATACTCAGCATCCAGAATAGCCAGGACAAGATATCCACATCTCTAATTTTCACACACATGGACTCTGGGAACATACTTTACCTTTTTTTTGTCATTTGAAAGGAGAAAATATCCTTTACACAAATATTTTTCAATGCACGTGTAATCTAATGGTTACTGCATTCCCATGAATTGGCACTTACGTACGTCTGCAAATTGGTAGATAATAGCAACAATAGTCAAATGTAAGCATTTGGCTTGTACACTTGTTTCAAAAAATGAGATCACAAAATGCCATGCAAAGTAAACTAATAGATATGCTGTGCTGTACCTTCAGGATATACCGGTTGGAGACTTTGTCATCAGCAGCCACATATAAACGGATGAAGACAGAGTTGCTGTATTGACCACGAAGTGTTGCCAGGGTCTGCACTAAGCTAAACCTCCTCTCTGACCACAGCCCCTCTGGTCCAATGTTAGATTCCAGGACAGGCCAGCGAAAAGGGGAATGCCTCAGAATGCTTAATAGTGGTTTCACATCAGCTTTTTCAATTTTATCTGAAATGTCAAAGTGTGACAACAGTTACATTCCACATGATTCAAATCCAGCAACAGCCACAGGAGAAGCAAAGATTTATTGGCACTGATGGATTTCCAGGTAGGGAAAAACAAACAGCTGAATCCAGTGCCTCTGCTCTGTCTGTGAACACATTGGCATGGCAGTCCTGGACAAAGCCTCACAGAGCCCAGTGGAGAGCATAAGGGCCTGCCTGTATAAACATGGGTAATACACAGGTGTCCCCAAATCAGATCACTTACTCTCATTCATACAGGATGCATAAAGGATCTTGGCCTTCTGTACAGCTTCACTGTCCTGTCTTTTGCTGATCGGTTTCTCAAGCAATGCTGAAAAAAGAATTGATGCTTTTTCAATACATTTTAAAATGTGCATGCCGTCTGCTTTCCTGTCTCAGTGTTTACTTCAGTCACAGCGCTTAGCTAACTGGGGATGAGGCTTCACATTCATTTTCTTAGGCTACAACACAGATGCAAGAGATATTTTTAGTTTTTTCTACCTCCACACAGAATTACTATGACAGTGCACTCCTTGCCCCCTTACCCAGACTGGTCATTATTCCCAAGGCTTAGTGAATGCAGTGAGGTGCAAAAGACCTTGTTCTTGAGACTGTTAACTACCAAGGTTTCACCAAAGACAGTCAACGACCACCACATTGTCTCAAACTGAATGCTCAGAGAACAGATCACAGACACCTTATTCAATAGATCCAATTCTAAGCTGCTTGACTGTGAGTCAATCATACTACCCCCTAAATAGGAAGCGGCCTAAGAGCTCCAGCAAAGCAGCTGGCTGCACACCAGAATCTCCCCTTGAGAATAAACACTTCTTGAGGTTACTTAACGCCTGAACCAATATTCATCTGGGATGTGATGACACCTTGACAACAGATCCTCAGCAAGTGAGATATTGTTTTTTAAACTATGGTAGCTTCTCTAAGATTTGAGCTTAGATTCATTACGCACTCCCTAGCCTCTGCATAGCAAATAGTCAAGGATACTTAGCCATTTCAAATCTTGTTGTGTCACTGTCACCATTGTTCAAATTGCCATCTTACATCTATTTTATATCAGTAAATGTCTTTCTGCCTTCTTCTTACAAGTGAAGTATGCAGTGCTTCAGCCTCCATCTGTGACAAGGATATACATACTTTTAAAAAGATTATTATAAAGACAGCCAGCACTGTTCACTACTTTCTCTCAGAAAGAGCCACCTCTGATCAGAGGAGGGACTGGGAGCTAGCACAAAGGGCAGAAGCCCAGAAATTTTTCAGGTGGCTCAGCCCCTGGTGCTGACATTCTGTGTCATAGGAGAAGATGAAAGGATTCCAGAAGCCAGACTGCTGGCTTTATTTTCACCAAAAATGCCCTTTTGTCCATTAGACACCCCCAGCTTCAGCTTTGTGAATGATAAAGAAGGCCAAGTTTGAAACTGTTACATGAGAAGCTGCATTATATGGCTCCCTTACCATAGATGTCACAGAATCACAGAATGGCCATGGTTGAAAGGGACCTCAAGAATCATGAATCTCCAGCCCCCCTGCCACAGGCAGGGCCGCCAACCTCCACATTTAATACTAGACCAGGCTGCCCAGGCCCCCAGTCTGGCCTTGAACACCTCCAGGGATGGGGCATCCACAACCTCTGAGTAGCCTGTTTCGGCACCTCACCACTCTCGTAGTAAAGAACTTAAATGTCAAGTCCTTTTGTGCTGGAAGGCCAAAGTAGTTTTTCAAAGCTGTCATCTCTCTTGCTGTCCTCATTATGCATGGAAGTGAAATATCATGCAAAGTGCATCTGAATCTCAGTAGTCTGTTGTCAGCTGCTTCAAGCCATTTATCCAAGCTATAAATCAGCCAACATGTTGTTGCACACACATCTATGCCTACACACATCTTCAGCAACATCTGTCAGATCAGGTACAGCACAGCAAGAGCACTTCCATTAACAAGAGAACCAAGGCAGCACTTGAGCATGGGATGGAAAATGAGTTAGCAAACTCTGCTGGACCTAATGTGGTTCTGTGAAACCCAAACAGGTCACTCTCAACTTTACCTTACTCTTACTGGAACCACTAGAAAGAATGGCTTTGCTGGAAACTTCTCAATTGCCTCCTGTTGAGTGCTCAGCCAGAGCTAAGAAGCCTTGAAAACTTCAAGATTACCTTTCCTACACTATACTCCTCAGTGGGTATCCCTCTGGGTTTCAATAGGGTTTATGAGCAAAGACATAGTTCACATTGGTCCTACGTGATGCTGTGCTGGAGTTAAAAAACATACCACAGATATAAGGTAGAACAAAGTGCAGTGGACTTCCAGTGGTCTGCCAAAATCATCAGAACACCATTGAGACTTAAAGACAACAGCTATGGTAAAATCAAACCTCTTCCTCATAGAGCCTATTCAAGAACCTGCCATGACTGATCTCTCAGATACTTCTCACCTATACCCATCAGAGCACCTACACTCAGGGGACCATAAAGCTGACATTGAAATACTTATTTGTCAAAGATTATTACAGTGATGAACAAATGCCAACTATTCTCTTCATCCAAACTTTTCTCTCCATGAGGAGAAAAAAAAGATCTTGTTTGAGAAATCTAATGATATCATTTTACTTTTATTTATGGGTAAGATTTTCAATACTGAATCCTGTCCAGCAAGTTTGTTAATAGCTTTGGTTTCAAATCTTTAAGTTCTTAGTATTTCTCAGCTTGTTAAATAGAATATAATACCAAGCATTGACACATATCTCCAGTGTCCACAATGCTTAGTAGAACAATCAGACCAGTTCATGTTTTAAGAATGACATTTAAAGAGGAACTATAAATGAAACGTATATAAAACCAAAGATGAAAAAACACACTGCTATTAAAACTATTGTAATAACTTCAGTTCCTTGTCAGTGAGCTGCACAGACATGAAATTTTGAAACTAATAAAATTCAGTAAGTCCCAGCTAAAGCTCAGGAACAATACAGAGGAGGAGATCCAATAAAATAAAATCAACTCTAGGAATACATCTCCATAAAATCATGTCAAAATGAGACCTGGAGTTTTCCCATCAAATCACCTTGTTATGTGGTAGAATAAGCCTGGAACTCTTCCTTCACTTTTGTAAAGAATGAGGTGAGGTAGATGATGACATTTAGATGACATATACCATATAGATGATGTCTTGGGACCAGCGCTCTTTAACATCTTTATTGGTGAATCAATGATGGAATTGAGTGCATCCTCAGCAAATTTGCTGATGACACCAAGCTGAGTGGTGCAGTTGACACAGTGGAAGGAAGGGATGCCATTCAGAGGGACCTCAGAAGCCTTGAAAGGTGGGCCTGGGTGAATCTAATGAAGTTCAACACAGCAAAGTGCAAGGTTTTGCACTTGGGCCAAAGGAATCCCATGCATCTATACAGACTGGAAAGAGCAGTCTTGAGAGCAGCCCTGCAGAAAATGACCTGGGGGTCCTGATGGATGAAAAGCTTAACATGAGCCAGCAGTGTGCTCTTGCAGCTTGGAAAGCAAATGGTATGCTGGGCAAAGAGCAAAGCAGCTCTTGTTCTTCAGCCATGTTGTTTTGCTTCCTTCCAAATTAATTCCAGAGTTATTCTCTTAGGAATAAAAAGAATCCTGAACTGTGCTATTGATCTAAGCACCTCATTGTCTATGTTTCTGTATGCACAGGATGCTCAGAGGCAAGATTTATATCTGCCTTCACATAAAACTTAGTTATGGCAAATGTCAAAACTTACTGGTAATTCTGCTTCACACTGCTAAGCCAACGTAACTCATCTCATTAAAAAACTATCTCATGCACAGTCAAAAACTGGTTAAAACTGTTCCTGCTATCCCAAGGTTCCTAAGGTCACATATTGCTTCATCATTCTTTTTTTTTTTTTTTTTTTTTTTCCTACCAAGGTTCTGAGTGCAGGGATGTTTGCACTGCAAACCAAAGTTCTTTTACTTGTGACAGTCTGGGTCAGACAGGCTTACATCATCACACTCCACAGCCCTTTTACAAAACACAGAGACTCAGCATCACCAACAGAAATCATCCCATGATTGGAACAATCCTCAGTGGTCTGAGCTATGAATGCTCAGACAGGCAGTCAAGGAAAATAGCCACAGCTGGGGATGGGGTGTTGGGTTTGGAAGGGAAGGAAGGAAGGAAGGTCTTTATTGAGTGTCATTCAGACGGTGCTTTTCCAGGACAAGAGAGCTAAAAAAAGCCAGCTTCCTGTGGTTCACAACCCTACAGTAAATAGCAATCATCTGCTTCTGAAAGTGAGAGCAAAGAACTTTACAAAGTAAGCTTTGCTATTTCGTGTGTGTGCATGTGTGTATTTAAATACATACTATTCTAAAGTGGCTAAGAATAACATTGTGGCTAAATGTTACCTTTAATCTTACTTTCCATTTCTAGCTGTTGTTGATTTTCCAGCCTACTGTCCTGTGCAGCTTTAGTTTTCAACCACCGTACTTTATTTACAGCATTGAGAAATCCTGTACCATTTTTTACCTTCTGACTTGGAGTACAAGAAACAGGAGTTGCACAGATTTGTGGGGAAAAGAAGCATGTGTATCACATATTCAGATTAGAAACAGAGATTTGGTCATAAGGATCCTGATCTGCAGACTGCATATATATTCTGTGTTTTATTAGACTGTTCTCTGCATACACAGTCTCTCACAGAAATGCAATTAGACTGTGTTATTAGCTAAGCTTATTTCTTGATCTAAAGAGGTAACATTAGGTTTTGCTGCACTTTCCGACCATAGGTATGGAGACTACATGCTGCTAGTGAAAACAGTAGCACTATTTTCCCATTCACTTTTGTCTTTATCCTACAAACATCTGCTGTACATGGAAAATGCAAACTGAAATGTTTGTACAGTGATACCTAATAATGATTTGAAGTACATTCTCATGCTTTTTACCTTGAAGAAAAAGAATATTCTAGTGGGATACATTCAGGCTTTTCTTAATTAAAAAATTCTATACAAAAGCCCCAGTGGGACAGCCCATTTCCTGGAAAGTTTTAACCCTGGGAGAGTGAAAAGCTAGAAGGAGGCAAGTAACTCAGCATAAAATCCCAGGGTAATGTTGGAGAAAGCAAGGTCTTGGACTGCAAAAGCAGAGAAGTACAAAACTGGGGAGGTGATTTATTGTTGTACACAGGTTGAAGAGAGACTGGAATGCTGCATGCGCTCTGTTGCCCATGTTTTAAAAACAATGAGTTTTTCTTTGAGTGGAGTGCCTTGAGAACTGGGGAAAAAAAAGCCATGCAGTAAGAGACTTTAAGAACTTGATTTACTGATTTGTTTTGTT